ACATCCAAACGTGAGCACAGATGTTTAGGGAAGAAATGGAAATGCTGTTCGGCTGGACCCGGAGTGTGAGGCAGCCCCGTGTCCCCTCCCGTGCCCTCAGCAGCAGCGGCAGTGCCAAATTGATGTCCGGCAAATCCTGGGAACAAAGGAGGGGAGCTCGCTGCTTTTGTTCCTGCCTGCTCCAGTCACGCACATGATTTGTTCCTCCTACCCAATTTTGTGGCTTGGCAGGGAAAAAGGGATGGACAGAGTTGGGCTGCAGTGAAAGGAAAGCAGAAGAGAGATTTTTTTGGTGAATATCACAGCCATGGGTTAACTGTGAGGCTGTGCTTGGGCTGTGAGAGTTTGCAGAGGACATTTCCAGGCACTTTTCACACCTCTTTATCCAGCAAAAATCAGTGAGCCGTGGCACTCTGCCCCAGGATGTTGAGAAGGGTAAAAGCTTGTAAAGCTTCATCTTGGGTGTGAATTCATGACGTTTTAAAATAATAATAAAATAAAAAAATTCTAATACATGCCTTTCCTGGTCCTGTACTCCTCCAGCTGCCTGCTGGACTCCTGCCACTCCTGGCTGCTGGACTATCAGGGATTTTGGGCTGCCTTGGGAAGGGAGTTTTGAAACCAATTCGCTTGGAGGAAGAGTTCGTTCCTCCTGGGCGTGTGGCTGTTTCGGTGTTTCCTGTGGCCGAGGCTGTAAAATTCAGCTTCAGGCTGGTCCTTGGAGGACCTTGCTTGGCCTGAGGAGGCATCTGAGGTCATGAAAAGGAGCTGAGCTGCTGTTGTGCTGCAGATGAACAGATTATTTCCCATTCCTGCATTAGGAGCTCTGTGGATTTAGTAATTTCTCCAATATGATGCTGCTTTTATTGCCTCTCCAGCCCTTCCTCCAAACATCCTTCCATCCTCCATCCACCCGGGAGCACCTGGAGACACCTCTGAGCCACCAGACCTTGGTGTTTACCCCAGGAGCTCTGGGAAGGAGCGGGTAGGGATGGAGGGACGCTTCCAGAGTGGGGTTGAAGGCTGGAGGGTGAGACAAAGCACAGGAAAACACCCACGGGCACTGCCCCCAGAAACCACTGGAGAAACTCGTGCAGAGGTGTGAATGGAGCGCTCAGAGGGATCATCTGTGTTAAATCTGTAGTGGCTGTCTGTCTCTCCTCGTTCCCCTGTGTTCCTCTGCTCTCCCCGATTAACCCTTGCCCGGCTGTGTCACCCAGCCCGGCGGAATCCAACGCTGTCTTTCCCGGGAGGAAGGAGTCCCGTTAAACCCGCGATGCTCTTTGCCCTCAGCGTTAATGTCGCAGAGGCTCCCATGGGACTCCCAGGCTCCTCAGACCTTAAATGATCCTGCAGCACCTGGCCTCATTGGGAAGTCCTTGGAAAGGCAGAGTGGGTGAAGAGAAGAAGGAGAGGATGTTGTCCGGGACAAAAGCCTCCCTGAGGTCTTTCCCCCTCCATCAGGCCTCAAAAAGTGGGATGAGCGGTCCCTGCGCGGTAATTCCCATCGCTGCCTCTCCCAGCTCATGCTGCCCTGGGAACGCAGCCCCTTGGGCAGAGCTCATCCCTGAAACACGGGGAGAAGAGGAGAGGAGCCCACCACCATCCCCCCCCCCAGCAGCTGGAGACCCCAATCCCGTGCCTTGTCCCCAGTCCTGGAGTCCCCAGTCCCGTGCCTTGTCCCCAGTCCTGGAGTCCCCAGTCCCGTGCCTTGTCCCCAGTCCCGTGCCTTGTCCCCAGTCCTGGAGTCCCCAGTCCCGTGCCTTGTCCCCAGTCCTGGAGACCCCAGTCCCGTGCCTTGTCCCCAGTCCTGGAGACCCCAGTCCCGTGCCTTGTCCCACCACCGGCTCTTCCAGAAGTGCCGCCGCAGCTGTGGAAGCTCAGCGCTGTTCTCTCAGCCCCGGCGTCAGTCACGGGATGCCATTAATTATCCCCGCGATCCCGAGGAATGGGGGCAGTCCTAATTACAGTCCCGCTTTGTTTGGGCTGGTGTCTCTGCCTGAGCGCAGAAACAAAAGGCAGCAGATCGGGACAAGCGATGCTACAAAGGAAGGAGCAGGGGAGGCGGAGAGGATCCTGCGTGCTCCCAGAGTTGGGATGCTCCCTGCAAATCGGTCTTCCCTCTCTCCAGGTCATGAGATTTGGCTGAAAGCTCCGGCTGAAGCTGCCGCTCCGAGGTTTCGCTTTGCCCGGGTGATGAAGCGCTAATTAGATGCAGATTAAAAGTCACCATTAGGGATAATACCTGCGCGGCCGTGGAAGCGCGGGAGCATCTCTCCCTTAGCTCCGGGACTCCGTCCGGGGCCCTTTGTATTTCCGCACCCCCCCCCGCCCCCGAAAAAAAAGAAAAAAAAAAACAGAGAATGAAAAAAAGATAGTTGGAAGCGCAGAATGAGCTGGGGGAAGGGAGATGGGGTGGGGGAAAGCTGGGAAGAAATAATTGCCACGTCTGAAAACAGTTACTATGGCAGCGACAGTCTTCGCGCCGCCTGAGCGAAATGTTGGGGACCAGCGGCGGTCCCTTTGTCACATCCTCAGACACACATTTAGATGCTAATGCTGCCTTTAACCTTGGCTGCTTAACCTTGATAGGAGGGGAAGGGCGGCGATGGGGGAGAAAAAGCAGCGATAGACGGAGGTTTATGGAAAAGATGGGTTTCCTCTCCCTAAATTTGTCACCGAATGGACTTGGCAGGCTCCTCTCTGCTGCGATTAACGCTGTTATTTCTGCGCTTAATATTCCGCGGAGGTTTTACCAGTTTATTTATGGATAGCTGGCATTAGCCGCAGCATAATTCACCGCTGCGACGCTCCCGTTTATCTCCATCTCCTCGGGATTGTCTCATCTGAGGCCGGTTTGGAGAACACCCCCAGGTTTGATCAGCCTAGCTATCTAATCTCGCCTTTATTTAGAACCGCCGTGAAAAAAGGAGGGGTGCGCAGGAGGGAAGACTCCCCTTTACCCCTTTAGACTTTGGATGGTGGGGAAAGACATTTTGGTGGCCTGTGTGGCCTTTCTTGAGGCCCCAAACTGTCTCAGCAGCGGGATGAAAGAAGAGGGATGGAGAGGGGAAGGAGAGGGGAAATTCCCTGGGGAGTGCTACCTGGCTGAAACAGCATCTCCCGCGCTCCCGACATCGAGCAGGGGCTCACGGCCGAAGGTAAATTCCTAAATCCCAGCCCTATTGCACACAGATTAGCCACTAATTCCGGGAGCAGCCCGGGATGCCCTCGCTTTGGGATTATCCTTAACTGCAGCCTTTAAGGAAGCTTTTGCTGAAGCGATTGAGGCAGAGGAGATGAGAGCGGTGCCAGTGCCGGATCTGCCGCTCACAGATGACTCTATTCTTCTGTTTCTGGCATTTTTAAATTCTTCTTTAAAGCTCCTGGTCCTGCAGTCAGATGATCACTTTTAGGTTTCTCCACGTGCTCTTGGAACCTCATTTATTTGGCGTGGTAGCAGACTAAAGCCTGAGCTCACACCAGCTCAAAGATAAGTCTAGGACAGCCCTGCTGCACAAAATATTTTCATTTTCCAGCCCATCTAGTGCCTGTGTCTCGACTTTGGATTGGTAATGGTGCCTTACTCGTGCCACGGAGTGTTTCTCCCACCTGCATGATGCCCGGCACAGAGTTCCCTGCTCTTTTTCACCATGTCACCACACAGTGATTTCCACAAAACTGTGCCCAGTGTCACCTCTGAGGACTGCAAAAGCAAGCTCCCTATATTTTTAATGATGGCATGTGTTAATAGGAAGCCTTATCTCCACACAAAGCCTCCACATGCATCCTCGGGATGAAATATGAATGTGAGGAATTCACACTCATATTCATTCGGCCACTCCAGCCCGACAAACCCTCACCACACACTGAGGGGTGAAAGCATCCTAAATTAAAAGCAGTATCTGTCTTCTGCAGTGAACTTCTTTCTCAGGAGTTTCTGGCTGAGCTGTCACATAGAGTCGATATTTATTTTACAAAGGCTGTAAAAGAGGCAGTGGGTAATATTGTAGCAACCAGCCTGCTGCTGCTTTTTGGCTTGGGAGCGAGAGCAGAAATAAAAGCAAGAGCTCTGGCTCAGATTTTGCCCAGAAAAGCTGTGGTTGCCTAGAAGTGTTCAAGGTCAGGTTCGAAGGGGCTTGAAGCAACCTGGGGTAGTGGAAGGTGTCCCTGCCCGTGGCACGGGGGTGGAACTGGATCTTTAGTTGGAAGCAGATCTCCTGTGAGTAACTGGGACAGAAGTTCTATGGCTCAGCTACCCAGCCACTGGGGACCTCAGGAGCTTTATCAGGGGTTGCGGGCACTGACAACCTTTACAAAATATGAGACCCAAAAGGCATTAACGGCAGCGACCAACATTAATACCAGCCCTGCCCTGGATCGAACACAGGTGAGGTTTTCTCCCTGTGGCATCTCTCTGCTTGGGGACGCTGTGACAGCTGCAGGGGACACAGATGCTCCACATTGCTCTGCTGCTTTTCAGCTCGAATCATCACTGGTGCCAGGTGTCCCTGAAAAGCTGTGCCTAAACAGCTTCTGGTGTCTCACGTGCAATAATTAATCCCAGAATCCCAGAATGGTTTGGGGTGGAAGGAACCTGAAAAAAACATCTCATTCCCACCCCCTGCACTTGGCAGGGACACCTTCCACTATACCAGGTTGCTCCAAGCCCCATCCAACCTGGCCTTGGACACTTCCAGAGATGGAGCAGCCACACCTTGGCTTGGTTACGGTTTTTAAGGGGTTTTTTTTACTTCTTGCTGTGGTCGGTCACGATGACAAACATAAGGATAATCGAGCTTCCAGCACAGGGGGATGGCGCTTCTGGGGGTCCCCGAGGAGCAGAAGCGCAGGCAAGGCCAGGCGGAGCTCGGACAGGGCCAGGTGAAACCCAGGCAGGGGCGACCCGGGCAAGATGCGGGGCGGAGCGGGAGGAAGGCGGCGGCGCGGCCCCTCCTATCCTCCTCTTTCTTTTCCTCCTCCTCCTTTCCCTCCTCCTCCTCCTCCTCCTCCTGCCGGGCGGGGCGAGGGTCGGCAGTCCCGGCGCGCTGCCGCCGCGTGGAGCCGCGCCGTGTGTTCCCGATCCCTGATCCCACATCCCTGTTCCCACATCTCTGATCCCTGTTCCCGGCTCCCTCCGCCGCCCCCAGCCGTGCCCCCGCTGCGGGCCGGCGGCGCGGGGATGGGCGAGGGGCTGTGAGCGCGGCCGGGAGCCGTGGCCATGGGGAACATCTCCTCCAACATCTCCGCCTTCCAGTCCCTGCACATCGTCATGCTGGGCCTGGATTCGGCAGGAAAGACCACGGTGCTCTACCGCCTCAAGTTCAACGAGTTCGTCAACACCGTGCCCACCATCGGCTTCAACACCGAGAAGATCCGGCTCAGCAACGGGACGGCCAAGGGCATCAGCTGCCACTTCTGGGACGTGGGCGGGCAGGAGAAGCTGCGCCCGCTCTGGAAGTCCTACAGCCGCTGCACCGATGGCATCATCTACGTGGTGGACTCAGTGGACGTGGACCGGCTGGAGGAAGCCAAAACGGAGCTGCACAAGGTGACCAAGTTCGCGGAGAACCAGGGCACCCCGCTGCTGGTCATCGCCAACAAGCAGGACCTGCCCAAATCGCTGCCGGTGGCCGAGATCGAGAAGCAGCTGGCCCTCCACGAGCTGACCCCTTCCACCACCTACCACATCCAGCCCGCCTGCGCCATCATCGGCGAGGGGCTGACGGAGGGCATGGACAAGCTCTACGAGATGATCCTCAAGCGCAGGAAGTCCCTCAAGCAGAAGAAGAAGCGGTAGAAGCTCAGCCGAGGCGGGGAGGGATGGGGGAGCAGACAAAGGAATTGAGGGGGAGACAGAACCAAAGCGATTCTTTTGGGTTTAATCGTTCTTTTTTTTTTTTTTTTCCCTCTTCATTTTTTTTCCCTCCTTCCCCAAAGGACAGACAATAGTGGTGATAACAAAGCGGCTCCCGCCAGCCGAACCCAGATCCCGGAGCTCCCCTCGCCCACCGCCCCGTGCTCCTGAGGGTCTGATCCGGACTCCCTTGGGCTGGAAACACGGGAAAACGGGATGAATCCCCCCCTCTCCATCTCCGGGACCACCGAGCCTTTGTGTGCCGGGGAACCAGCAGGGCAGGACCCTGTTGAAGCGCGTTCGAGCGGAGCCCAGCGTGCTTTTGGATCTTTAACGTGGGCATTTTGGGGGTGTCGATGCCAGACCCCCACATGCATTTTGGGGCGGGGGGTCGGTGCTGCGGGAGGTGCGGATGCACCGTGTCTCGGCAAGGTCCGCGGGGTGGGCGGGGGGGGGGGGGGCTTGCAGCCCTCATTCCTGCATCCCCACATCCCTGGATCCCTCCCCCGCGGGTGGCGGTGGGAAGGGGTGTTGAAAGCTTGGATGGGGGGGTTGGACCAGCAGAAAATGTCTTGGAGGGGTGGGTGTGATGGGTAAGGGACATCCACCCACCCTGGCTGGTGTTTTAGGGTGCAGAGCAAGGACAGGCAGCCTTTGGCTTGTAGGGGGAGGATGCGACACTGGGGTGCTGAGCAGCTGCTGAGTGGTGCAGAGCTTTAAGTTCCTGGCTCAAAAAACGGGTGGAAAGGCTGGAAAAAGGAAAAAAGAATACCCAAGAGTTTGGGGTGAACGCTGCTGGAAGCGTTGGGGGGGTTGTGCAGGACCGGTGTCACCTTCGGCAGCAAAACCCCCCGCAGGTGTGCATTGTCCCCGTGCTCAGGGTGAGGGTGCTCCAAGGTGCAGCTTTGGAGGTGATCCAGATAGGAATTACTTAGTAAAACCCCCCAAAAAGGCAGAGTTCGGGGTTCTGGCCACTATGCTGCTCTGCAGTGGGGCAGGAGACCAAGTCAGGGAGGGTCATGACAGGGCAGGATGGATGGATGGATGGACAGACAGAGATGGCCAGAGCCTGCAAAAAATCTCTGCTGGAAAGGGAAGATGGCAGGGGGTGAAGAGGCATGGGGGGGTTGTGGTAGGTTTTTAATAAATATTCAAACCTGATTAAAAGCCCCTCTCTTCCCCCAGTAGCCACATGGGCAAGCTGTGCCTGCAGAGCAGCCTGAACACCCGGGCAGGGTCGGGCCTGGCCGCCTCCTCCTGCAGGTGAACATTTTATACCCGCATGGGGCTGAGGACCAAAATCCACTTGCTGTCTGTGTTTCAGCCTGGGATCTGGCTCTCTGGCATCCTGGCTTCCCACAGAGCTGAAGCAGGCAGCCCTCAGGGGCCGAATATCCTGAGTTTGGAGGCAGGCAGGATTTTCTGGTGATTTTACACCAGCTTTCCCATTTGCAAACCCCTTCCCAGAGCAGCCAAGGGGAAAGCACCAAGCAGACAAAAGCAAAATGCCCTTCGGGTTTCAGGGAGTTGATCCTCCCCTTGCAGGGACGAGCACCTTCCAAACATCATTTTTGGGGGGTGGGGGGGTTTGTTAGGGAACAAATGTTGCAGCCGAGTTGTGTTTGTTCTCCTCTTGCGGGGTTTGAGTCCCGATCTGTGTGGGCTGGTCCCATCCGTTCAGGTGGCTCTCTTTCTGCTCCCTCGGGTTTCTCTGCTTTGTCTTCACCTCCAACACTTTGGTACTTGCTATCAAGAGAGAGAGAGAGAGAAAAGAATTATTTATTTTTGATGCCACAGAAGCCACATGTATTAACCCATTTTGGGAGAGAAACCTGTTTGAAATGTAAAAGCTGTGTTGACCCCAGCAGCTCCAGGGTGGTCAGGTTTTAGGAATGACACCTGCAGGCTGTTGGTGGTGGGTTTTTTTACCTCCTGGCTGGTCTCGTTTAGCACATGCTGGCAGTGGAAAGGCTGTTCTTACAGAGCTGGGTCCTTCCTGAGAGCTCGTTCCACCCAGCTGAGCATCCCCTTGTAGAGATGGCAGAGGGCTGGAAGGTTCGGGTGGGACGCTGTGCCCGTGCCCTTGCCAGCCACTCTGCTTTCTGCAATAATTAAAAAGACTTTTCCAATGAGTAGCTCCTGGCTTCCGTGGTGTTTCCATAACGTCCCACCCGGTTTTCCCCCTTCCCTGTGTGAAAATGAGCGTCGCCCTCGGCGGGCTGCAAGAAGAGGGGCCTCAGCAGAGCAGCCCCCAAGGGCTCTTTGCAAGGCCAGTTTCTGGATGACCTGGGTTTTTTGGCAGGTCTCATTCCCCAGGTCCATTTGTCGTGTTCCCATCTGCGATATCCTGTGTCCTGCCCTCGCCATTGTCTGTCAGTCTCTGTTCCTCCTGTCTTTCCTTTTTTTCATTTTCTGTTTTTTTTCTTTTTTTAAGATGCAGACTTAATGCTGTGAACTGAAATAAATTATTTATACAATGAAAGGGCCTGATTAAAAAAAAAAAAACCAACCAAAACCCAGTGTTCTGCTTGTTTCTCAGTATCAGTGCTGCATTTTGTGTGGTTTGAAGGAGGTTCCTGCTGCCTCCCCAAGGAGATGAGACAAGGGGACAGAGAAGTGACCTGCCGAGGATCCAGTGTCACGGGTGTATCACGTGGCAGCCCGCTAGGACATGGGGGACATCCATAATTTGCTGGTTAATGAAATCTGAGCTCTTTTGCAGGTCACTTAATGTCCCTGCATCTCTGCTGCTGTCTGTGAGAGAGGAGGATACTTTTTGGTGGGGGAGGGATTTTGTTCTACCACCTCCTCTGATTTAAAATCCATGTTAGGGGGGCGATCATGCAGAGAGAAAGTTCCCATTTTTGCTCAGCATGGCTTTTTTAAAATGGGCAGCCTCGGGCGAGTGGTGTCGGTGGCAGAGAGCCAGGTCTGCAGAGGTTAAAACACCACTTGGGAACAGGATGCTGCAGACAGAGCTCGAGGCTGCCTCTGCTCCTGGGTGGCTGCTGACACAGGGAACCCAGGGTGACATTTCGGGGGAGCGGTGGAGCTGGGCGGCAAATTACTTTCTTTCTCCTTTTTTTTTTTTTTTTTTCTTTTCTTTTCTGATGATGATGAGGCAGCCAGAGGGGAAATGATGAGCCTGACTTGTGAAAGTGAGATTTGGAAGGGCTTGGAGTGTTCTCACCCCACTTGAGATTTGTGGGGTGCGCAGTGCCTGGGTGAGGGGATGTGGTGTCTGCTCTGCAGGGCAGGGATGGGGGTTCTGTGGGGTGACAGGAGCCCAGGGCACAGCTGGAGCTGTGTCAGGGCAGGCTCAGGCTGGAGATCAGGGAAAGGTTCTTCTCCTGAGGGTGCTGGGCACTGCCCAGGGAATGGGCACAGCCCCAGGCTGACAGAGCCCAAGGAGATTTGAACAGTGCTCTCAGGGTGGGATTTTTGGGGTGTCTGTGCAGGGCCAGGGGTTGGACTCCATGATCCTTGTGGATCCCTTCTAGCTCAGGAGATTCCATGATTCTTTGAACCCAAAGGCTTATCCAACGCTGCAGCTGCTGAGCTGCTATCAAAGCTCAGAAATCCCTTGGAGCTGAGCTGGACCGTGGCATTTCAGGATTGAGTTGTGGATTGCTCAGCTGCCCCCTGACCTTGCAGAGAGCCTCTGGAAGGTGAAGTTCCCCATGGGTTCCCTCCTCACCCAGAGCATCATTGATGGGCATCTGTCCCTCTGCCACACGGTTCAGTGCTCCTGAAGATGCTCCTGACCATCCTCTGGCCCCATTTTCCATGGGACATTGTGTGCTCCTCATGGTTTCATGGATCTAAAAGCCCAGCAGTGCCCCCACCTTCCTTAGCCTGAAGGGACTTGTCCTCACTGATCCCACTTGGCAGAAGCTGATTTTGGGGAATTTTCCAGCTGGTCCCGAGGTTGGATGCTGCCATTGCGTCTCTGGGCTTATCTGTGTGCCAGGGGAGCTGGACTTTGGTACCTTGGGCACACATGGAGCTGGGGGTGGGGTGCTTTCCTCCTGGTTTAAGGGGGAACCATCCCTTTCCCTGCAGTGGAGGAAAAGAAACAGCTGCCGGGGTTTGAGGCTGTGGCTCTGAGAGGCTGTGACCGAGCTGGGATTTCCCACGGCGTTTGCGGGGAAGGGACGGTGTCGGAATCTGAGGTATTGGTGATTCTGAGATTGTAGAAAGTCTCTGTCTTTCAGCCCCGCTGCCAAAGCAGAAGCCATAATTCGTCTGTGCTGTTTTCAAGGTTGTTTATTCTGTTTATCTCTAACATGTTCTGCTGCCCTGCCGCAGCTCTGTCCTGCAGGGCAGCGTGTGGGGCTCTGCCCTCAGTGGGATGTTACAAACATTAAATACCAGAAACTACCTGTGCTGGATTTACAATAATGTGCCAATATCTGTCACCTACGTTGAACAGTGTGTCTCCAGCCTAAACCAATAGAAAAATGCCAACACCACAGTGAAACATGGAGGGCATGAAGAAGAAGAAAAAGGACAAAACACGCCCAATTTCCTCCATCTTGTCCCCTTTGAACCCCTAATCTAGAAACCTAAAATTTTACTTTTGCACCCGTGTCACACTTAATTATTACTCTTATCAAACACTCAAAGCTTGTAATTCATCCTGTAAGATTGAAAACTCTTCTCCATGGACAGAGATCACAGCCAGTGTCTCTGGGGGCTCTGTCCAGGGGGGTTCCTGACCCCTGCCAGGGTCCTAGACCTGCCAGGGCAGCCAGAGGGAAGCCCTGGATTCCCACAGGACGGGAGGGGCTGTGCTCTGTGGCCAGTGGAACTCCTTGTGCTTCCACCGCCATCCTCCTTGGAGCAGCCTGTCCTGCTGGCCAGAGTGCTTCTGTCAGCAGGGGGGAGGCTGTGTTCGGGCCGGTTGTGCTGAGAACATCACACAAGGCCCCGATGGATGGGGCTGTGCCCCTGGCCCGGGCAGGCAGAGTGACCAAACAGTGAGGGACAGTCCCTGGCCTGATGTCTGGGGAGCCTGGTGGCACATGGGGCCACCAGGCAGTGCCCAGGGACTCTGCAGTCCCTGCACAGGACTGGCCGGGAGATAAAGCAGCAAGGGAGCAGTTGGGCTGTGGGCTGCAGCAGCTGAGAAGGACCTAGAACATTCCAAGAGGATGGATCAGGGCTGGGAGCAGCGGGAGATGGGGTCAGGACAGCAATGAGCAGAGAGGAGCCATCAGTGTGTCCTTGGTGGACCCCCCTCTCTGCAGGGCACCAGGGAAGGCTGCTGAGTGCTCTCTCAGTGTCCCCTTGGTGAATCCCACTTTTCCAAGCACGCAGCTTCCCAACATCTCCTCCACCCCGGGAGCCCCTCTGCTGCAGGTCCTGCCTTGCCTCGTGCTGTATCAGCTACACAGGTCCTTCTGCATCTCTTCTCTGGCTTTGCCTCATTAAGCTAAATCCCTCTGCTTTATTTCAAATGGGATTTGCTTCCCAAGCAAGGATCTTTGAAAGGATCATCCTGGTTAATGCAATCCTGAGGGCGCTGGACCCTTGGAGTGTGGTGCAGGGCACTGGCAGCTATTGCACAGCACCAGGTGCTTCTGGCCAAATTTTGGGGGTGGCTGAGGATGACCATCCCTTTGAAACAGGCTAGAAACCACAACCAGAAGAAAGAAAAAAAAATCCCACAATGATTCAAATGTTTCCTTTGTTTCAGGCAGCTCCATCCTGGAGCTTCTTCAATGGGAATTACCCCCAAATCACCAGAAGTTTTTGTCTGAGCAGCAAAAGGCCACTGCTGTGAGTTACTTTAAGCACTTTGCACACACACCATGGGAAAAAAAAAAGCCTCGTAGTGGCCTGGCAGAGCAAAATTGAGACATTTCAGCATGAGGATGTTTGAATATGGAGAGCTCAGCTTGGGAATATTTGCTCTAATAAACCATTCTATTTATTTCAGCTTAGCCTGTGTTTGCTTCCCTCCAACCTTCATGTGATATTTCAGGCAGGAAAGCTCATAGAGCCCATCAAAATCTCCAGCAATGACATTAAAACACTGCCGGAAGGTGAGTTATGGAACCTGGACACCCCCCAGGTGACCAGAAGGAATCCCATGTGTCCCATGACCCCCTGCCCTCCCTCCCTGACAGCCCTGACTGATGGCATCCCACAGCTTCCCAAAACGCTGGAAGCACGATGGGAAGAGCACAGAGCCCACAGATTAGAGTCTTTCCATTTATTGTTAGTCATCCTTACTTATTGCTGTGAATGATATAATAGATAGGAATTCTAATTATCATTATTGATATTAACAATATTATAATACATATATATATTAATAAATAGTGATAAAAACAGTAAATAAATAACAAAAGGGCGGGCAGGTCCTGACACAGAGTGCTCAGAGCAGCTGTGGCTGCCCCTGGATCCCTGGAAGTGTCCAAGGCCAGGTTGGACACTGAGGCTTGGAGCAGCCTGGGACAGTGGAAGGTGTCCCTGCCCATGGCAGGGGGTGGAATGGATGATCTTTAAGGTCCCTTCTACCCCAAACCATTTTGGGATTCTGGGATTATTTTTATTGCTCAGCCCAAATTTTGCAGCTGGGCTGAGCTGCTCTGGTTCTCCTGATCCTGTGGTGCTGGAGCATTCCCAGAAGATAGGGACTGGGGAAACAGGCACTCCCAAAGCTCCTCATCCCACCTGGCATTGCTTTCAAGTATTTTGCTGTCAGGAAGGGAACAGGATGCAAAGCTGGGCCTAAATGCAGGTTTTTTATACTCCTGCCTAACTTTGGTCACACGACTTAACTTGCCCCAGACTTCTTTTCCACAGGAATAAAATGAAATTTCCAGCATTTTGTTTCTATTCCCTGAGCTTCAGAAAGAAATTGGGGCTGGTGTGATTCTACGAACCCCATGGTAAAGATGCTAAACCTGCAGGACTGTCTCTTCCTTGGTGGAGGAAGGGGTTGAAGCCTGAGGGTGGAGGGAGATTCCTGCAGATCCAGGTACTCCTGCTGTGCCATGGCCACATTATTTGGTCCCTAATTATTATTAGGTCCCAAATTATTTCTGCCCCGAGATAAGAAATTCAGTGTATCCCCCAGCCTCTCAGCTGGAGGTGGCAGGGATGATTTGCTTTCTTGGGGCTAAAATGAGGTGTTTTGGGGGATCTGTTTGCCTGGGCACCCCAAACTGGGCCACCAGAGCTGCACTGGGGCTGGCTGGGTGCCTTGGCTCAGCCCCCAGCAGCTCCAGGCCACGCTGGTTTCATTTCTGAGCTCTCTGAAAGCCTCCAGCTGTATCCTGCAAGTGCTGGCTGCCAAAGGGAAGGTGACAACCCATCCTCACCCCTGACCCTACAGCTGTGGGGTGCCCTGCAGCCGCGGGGACGGCGTTGGCACCCTGGGGACAGGAACTGCTGTCCCCACCACAGCACGGTGCCAGGGCTGGCAGCACCTCGGGGCTCTGCCACACAGCCAGCAGAGGTGAAGGCCTGGCATGGCAGTGGGAGCTGGGAACACAGGGGTTGTTGTGCTGGTTAATGTTAAACAGCCCTGGAAAGCCCCTCCTGCACTCTTGAACAAAGGGGCCCTTCCAGCTCTTTGGCAGCTTCCCCACCCTTCTGCTGTGGGTGGGAATGTCCAGGGGCTGCAGAGAGAATGGCAGGGCTGCAGGTTTCCATCCTGCCAGGATGGGCCGTGCTCTTCCCAACCATCCTTGGAAAACACCTGGGTGCTTGGAGGGAGCTGCTGGAGAGGACAATGGGTGCTGGGGAGAAATAAACACCAAAATAACGACTCACAACCCGCACACAGAATCACAGAATTCCAGAATGGCTTGGGTTGGAAAGGCCTTGAAGCTCATGCAGTGCCATGGGCAGGGACACCTTCCACTAGACCAGGCTCCTCCAGCCTGGCCTTGGACACCTCCAGGGATCCAGGGGCAGCCACAGCTTCTCTGAGCACTCTGTGCCAGGGCCTGCCCACCCTCCCAGGGAGTAATTCCTTCCTGAATTTCTCCTTGGAGCCTGCCCTTGGTTGTACCCCATCCACAGGCTCATCTCCAGAACAAATGGCCTTCAGCCTTCCCTGTGCATCTGGACATTCCTTCTCTTGCAGGAATGTCCAGGGGGTAGCACCTGATGGTCCCAGAGAGGTGGGGAGACTTCTGCTGCCTCAGCCCAGCCCTGGAACCTGCTGTGTTCCTTCTGGGACTTCCAGCAGCCCCAGGGTAGCTCAGACTGGGAATGGGGTGGCAAGGATGGTATAAAATCATCCTGTGCCAGTTTTCCCTGCAGATTCCAGCACCAAACATCTTCCCACCAAACATCTTCCCACCCAGCCTGGCCTCTCTGGGATTGGGATGCAGAGTCGAAAGAGCTGAGAATTTGTCCCTCGGCTGCAGAACCTCCTGCAGGGCAAACAACCCACCTGGGCCCTGTCCTTCTTCTCCTGTGAGAGCAAGGCAGGGGGGAGGGGTAAAACTATTTATTACACCTGAGCATCAGCATTTTCTCTGTCTCAGGGAGCTGCTGGGGTGCAGTGGGTGAAATCCAAGCGTTATTGCTGGCGAGGAAGTCCTGATGTGTGCATATGGAGCATGAGGGGGCCATAAACCCATCGGTAGGACTGAGAGGGGAAAAAAGAAAAGTCCTGCTGGAGTTTTAGCACTGTGGCCTGAGGGTTTCTAACCTCTGAGGACTGGCTTAGCTTTGGATGAGGGAAAGCCTGGGAGAAGAGGATTTGGGGTCCATGAGCAACGCCCGCATCTCACACCGTGGGGCTGGAGCCTCTGGGTGCAGAGAGACACGGGCTGCTGCTCCCAGCCCTGGGGAGGGGTTGCTAACACCAGGGATTGATGTTTATCATCCAGGTGCCCAGGGGAGACTTGGGTGCTCAAGGCTCCTTTATTTTTAGCTGGATAATGGAGACAGTGATGTGGGAAGAGGGGAGGGAGAAGGTAGGGCTGTATCTGCTGAGATATTCAAGTTCCTTATTTGTAATTCCTGGTAAAGAAGTTCTGGATATGTGAGGGGGTTTACATATATTTATGTATATTTTTATATGGGTGTTTATATCCCATCCATGTTCTGGTATATAAATATATATAAATATATAATTACACACAGGGAAGGATATATTGCAAATATTCCCTTAGCTCCTTCTGCCCCTCTTGAAGAAGAGCTTTAAGGTGTGGATGTGACACTTGGGGACACGGTTTAGTGATGACCTTGGCAGTTTTGGGCAGAGTATTTGGACTCCATGATCTTAAAGAGCTTTTCTAGTTCTACAGTTCTGTATTTCTCCTAGTGGTTGGCATCTCCAGCCCACAGCTTTTCCAATCCTGTGCTGGGTTTTGCCTTTCCCCACACCATGGATGTGTTTGTGGAGGCAATCACAGATCTCTGTGACCTCTGCATGTCCCTGTTAAGTTATTGGATCCAAAATTATTGTTGGGTCCCAAATTATTTCTGCTCTGGGATAAGAAACTCAGGGTATCCCCCAGACTCTCAGCTGGAGGTGGCAGGGATCCTTTTTTTGGGGTGAGGATGAGGTGCTTTGGGGGCACCTGTTTGCCTGGGCACCCCAAATTTCTGCCAAGCCCTTAAGTGGGAATGCTGCCCATGGAGTGGGTGTTTATCCAGCCCCTGTTCCCAGCAGCCTCAGCCAGGTCATGTCCTGGTGATCCATTAACCAGGGGGGGAGAGAGGCCCCTGTGCAAACCTTGGCATCTGCAGTGGAGCTGCTTGGAAAGCAGCCAGTGCTGCTCTTCCCTGGCCATCCACAAAATAAAAAAACCCCAAGGATTCATCAAAAAGGGAGCCATTTCATGGAAATGCTGGTGGCAAAGTGCCATAGTGAGGGGGAACAAGAAAGGAGGCACAGCAACCTTGGATAATGCTGAGACAACCCTGCTGGGATGGATCATGCTTGCTCTGAGATGGCTTTTCACCAGGAATTTTGGAAGGAATTTTGCATTATTTAAGGTATATAATGAAATTTGGGAAGGGCACAAGGGGTATTCTCCATGCTGGGGCTGTTTTCTCACTGGGTAACCACAAATTTCCAGTACTGGTAGCCCAGGAATCCCAGGAAACTCTCAGAAATGGCAGCAGGAGAAATCTTATCCCATTTCCCCCCTACTCCCAAGCCCCTGCCCTCTTGGAACTCCTTGTGTCAGGAAATGTGCAGGAAAACTGGTGCATTTCTGGTGATCTGAGCTCCCTCAGCCAAGACAAGACCCGGCTTGCAAAGAATGTGGGTAATTTATGTGTGGATAATAACAGAGGGAGAGCAGCATGCAAAAGGAGTTTGTCTCTCATTCCCCTCAGCCCTGCTCCTGAGACTTTGCCCTACCCAGAAAAGTTATTCCTGACTATCCCAGGGGGATTAATTCACGTGAGACCTTCCTGAGTCCTCCCTTTTGCTCTAATCAATCCGCTGTGGATCCAATCGCTAGATCAGGTAAAAGAAACCAAACAAAAATTACTTTTCTCCCCAAAGTCCCCCTAAACCTATATTCTTTTGCATCCTTGCAGATCCTAGGCTGGCTTTTCCCTACAGACTGGTCCTTGGGAACACAGGAGAAATAAATCCAGCTTCCAAGTCCAATGTAATAACTCACTCTCCAAACCCCTCCTGATGCTGGCAGAAACCAGAAGCCCTGACACATTTATTTGGTTTTCTTTTTTTTTTTTTTTTTTTTTACATAGAAAAGTCCTAGCAAGGGCAAATATAGAACTTGTGAGAGGTCTCATGGCAGAGGAAGAGCTTCAATAAAGAGATTTATTACCTGAAACAGCAGGAGAAGGCCTGGGAGCTTTGCACTGTGTAGCACAACTCTGAAAAGGAAAATCCTTTAAAAGGTGCCCTTTTGGGTGAGAGGAACCTTGGCAGCTTCAGGTCTGATTGGGAAAATAACACAGGGAACTCTACAAGGCTCGGATATTTTCTTTTCCCCCCTCTCTCCATCTCAAAAGGGGACTGATCTGTGCCTGTTCAGAGCAGGGAGGGGTTAAGTCTAACCCTGAATTCCTCACTCCAGCCCCAACACCACATCCATGGATAATGTGCCTTTAATTACTGTTAATTACTTAATCCTGTTCTCCAGCTCTGCTTAAGACTCTGCCTTAATTGCTGACAAACAAGCTCTGGGCATGCACAGGGTGTAATGGAGACAGCAAGTTCCCTAAATCCCATTCCCTGCAGGTTTGGCCCCTCCTTCCCCACCTTTCCCTGCAGATCGAATTCCCAGTGGTTTGCTTCAGGCTTCCCGTGGCAGTTTTCCAGGTGATTTTCAGGCTGACCTGATGGCACCAGGTCTTGCTTCAGGCTGCTCTCACCTCCCTGGGGATTAGCAAGGCATGGGACATCATTTCCAGCAGCTCCAGGGGGACATCCCAAGCAGGTGGGATGGGAGAGTCCCTTCCCCTGCAGGAGAAATGGGAAGCAAGAAGAGAGAATGAAACCCTAGCCTTGGCTGAGCTGGGTGCAGCAAGTTCTGTGAGAAAAGAACGGCGTGAAAAATTCAGTTTTAAGCCCAGACTGCTCAGGGCAAGGCCTAATGTCTTAGAGGGAAAGCAGCAAGTCCTCACTGTGGAAGAATTACAAGGAAATCGACTTCTGAAACAAAACAGTGGCAGAATCTCCAATCAGCACCGGCTGCAAGCAACAAAATCAATCCCAATCACATTTTTCCAGCCAGGCTGTTCGTCAGACACGATCTTAGTGCAGGTTGGGAGGAGGAAGAAATACAAACTGGAATTCCTATGGGCAGAGCTGAGCAAATCCATGGATACAGCATCAAGCACCACATCGGCCAAAACACAGGAAAGCCCCATGGCAACCATTCCCAGGATGAGACAGGAGGAGAGGATCAGAATTACGAAATCCCAGAATAATTTGGGTTGCAAAGACCTTAAATCTCATCCCATTCCACCTCTTGCAGGGCAGGGACACCTTCCACTAGCCCAGGGTGCTCCAAGCTCCATCCAAGTTGGCCTGGGACACTTCCAGGGATACAGGGGCAGCCATGGCTGCTCTGGTGCCACCAGCCCTGGCTCGGCAGGGCTGTGGCGGGGGCATGCAGAGTGGGATTTCCCCTCTCTGGATATCCCCACAACATCAGCTCCATCCCCCCCAGCCATGAACGAGAGGCAGAAAAAGGCTCCTCAGGGAAGAGAAATGGGGGAGAGGGGGTCCCTGAGCCCAGTTTGGCTCCCAGAATGTATCAGGCAGGAATGAAGCACTGCAGGGCACCTGCAGATGTGGGATTACTGCAGCAACAGGTCTGGCAGTGCAGGTTGCTCTCAGTCATCACCACAAACCAGTCACAAGGGCTGGGACATCTCCCAGTTATTCCAAGTGTTCCAGGTGAAATCCAAACCCTCCCACTTCAGTTCCAGCACCTCAGCAAGGTCCATCCCTGCCCAGGGGATTAATGCAGGGAGAATCATGAGGACTGTGACTCTTGCCTTCCCTGAAATGCCAGCTCCTCCACGTGTTGCCAGCTCCTGGGAATTTCAACCCAAGCTTTGTGATTTAGAACAAGTTCCACATCCTGGGGGTAACTTTTTATGCTGAGGAGCCCCACCTTCCCTCTCAGATGTCAGAAGGGGAACTTGCAGCCTCCTGGGTGATGCAGCAGATTGGAAAGAAGCCAGTGCTTAGCATTAAAAAAAAAAACCAAAAAAAACCAAAAAAACAACCACCACCAAAAAAACCAAAGAAAAACCAAACAAAAAAAACCCCAACCAAACAACAAACTCAAATTAAAAATGAACTCCTGAGTTTTACTCCTGTTTCAGGGTTTTGCAACAGCTTGCTGGAGGTGGTTTTGTCCCTTCTAACAGCAGAAGTTGCATCAGAAGTTGTGCTAACAAGTAATGTAGGACAGTCAGAGGAAACAGAGGGTGACTGCAGGGACCAATCCCCAGCAGGCTGAGGTTTTCCACCCCCGAGGTCACTTGAGAGCTGGAGATAAAACCCTGTTCTCCCAGAGGTTTGAGCTTGTCCCTGTCCCACTTTGAGAGACACGGAGAGAGTTGCACCCCACCACCGTGTCTGTAATAAGTAACTAATCACTGTCTTGAGGGTGAGATTCTGAGCTATGAAATTCCCAAAGTGCAGAGTGAAAAATTAGGTGTTATGCTTCTTTTCCAATGAAAAAAAAAAGAGACCTTAAACACCAGCAAGTGTGGTAAACCCCTGTGGGAGCCATCCCAGCTGACCCAAACACTGCCTGCTCTCATTCTTGGCACCAGAGACATCCCTAAAATGGGATCCCAGGCCCTAAAGCTTTGTCTGGGGTGCAAGGTTGCCGTGACAAAGCCAGGGTGCATTTCCCAGGTGGGAAAAGTTCCTGTGCCCTCACTTTTTGTTCCTGGCTGCAGTGGGGTGCTGGGCAGTGTTGGGTGCTCCATCCCTGCCTGCAGACTGAATAAATTAAATTCCAGTTGTTGGAACTCAAACTGTCCCTCGGACATTTTTGGAGGTTCCGGGTGCAGGTCAGAAGCATTTGAGACCGTGGCAGGCAGCTGGAAACAGCTGTGATTTTGGGTTTGAACCATGGAACGATTTACCAACCTTGCAGGAGAACAAGAAGTCACAAAAGTTTAGATGTTATAGTAGAAGTAGTTATAAAGTAAGAATTTTTTAGTATTGTACAAGGGGGTTTTAACACCTGTACAGGGGGGTTTTAGGTCTTGTACATGGGGGTCAGAGGGTTTAAGATGGAAGGATTTGGGCTGGTCCTGTTCCTACTCTTTCTTCTTCCTTGCCTCCATGTTCTTGGTGATGTTGGCACTCACAGATTGGTTTAGAGTAGAAAAGCACCATTTAATATAGGTAATAGGCATTGGGGGAAAAACTGTACCCATGTAACACGTAATGTACCATATAAAAGACAGCAGCAGCCCTGGGTGGAGGGAGAAGAAGCAGTCGGGAGTCAGAGAGGATGGGGAATGTGGCAGAGCAGGGCTCATCCATCCTGATCCCTTGGGAGATGGATCCTGCCCAGGGAAAAGCTGCCAACATAAAAAAGCAGGAGCACCCTGAGGAATTTGTGATGTTCCCCAGCCCTCAATGTCTGAATAGCCCTGGCTCTACCAGATGTAGATCTGAGAGATCTGAGAAATCCTGTGCAGGGGCTGGGAAGGGAAAGGGAAGGACTGATGAGACCAGGAAAACCAAGATTCCTGTCCCAGTGTCACTGGCCTCTCCCTGACCCCATCACACCCTATCCCAGAGGAGGTCCAGAACATCGCCCCAGCTCCAGGGAGGGAGATAAATGAGATTTTGGGGTGGGCTGGGGGGAGCAGCACATCCCCAGGGTAGGGGGTGACCCTGGTTTTGCCTTCTTTGCCACTCAAGCCGGGCATCTCCCCTGGAGAACCCCCTCATTCTCCAGCCACCTGGACAGAGGATGGACGTGCTGAGGGATGCCTTGGTGGCATCTGGAGTGGCCCAGGGAAGGAGAAAGCCCCTCCCAGTGGCCCACAGCCCCCTCTGAGGAATTCAAGCTATGCAGGGAGCAGAGGTCGCAGCAATCAGGTGCAATGTAAAAGGGAAAGATAAACCCCATAAATCAGGCGGTGGGAAGGGGAGGAGGGCACAAGTGCACAGAGCTGCAGGAGGATGGTACAAGGAAACCCACCCCGGGCAGAGGGAGGGGGAGGTGAAGGATAACCCTGGAGCAGCCTGGAGAGGGGGGATGTCCAGGGAAAGGGGGGCCAAAAGCATTCTCAGTGGGGGAAGTCCTCTCAGTGTAAAAAAAAACAAAAACAAAAAAAACAACAAAACAACAAAAAAAGCAAAATGTGGGGGGAGAAACAGAAGCAGTGGGTTAAGCATAGAGATATAAAGCCCTCAAAATACCATTTTACTTCAATTTTAGTCTATTTTTTTATATTACTGCCATAATGGAAGATGGAAGGAGACATAAAACTCTCCTTGAAGAACATCACAGATAAAGTATTTTATAACATAAATTATTTTTCTGCTTAGACAGGAGACTGCCCTAAAGCTGGAAGCTCCATTGTGCAAGCCTCCATCCCTGTGGTTCCAGCTTTCCACATGATGCTGCATGTCCATCCACCCTGGAGATATCCTGGAGATGGATGGATGGATGGATGGATGGATGGATGGATGGATGGATGGATGGATGGATGGATGGATGGATGGATGGATGGATGGATGAAGGGAGGGATGGAGGGATGGACAACTTTGCAACCTAGCTGGTGATTGCACCCCTTTCCTGAGCCCTCCAGGAGAAAATGTATCCAGGCACATTTTTGGGACACAGGAGTAGTAATAAGCTCTTGGTGAAAATCCATGTTAGTCGCCATTATGTGTGATCATGAGGGTGGTAAAAAGCCTACACCAGATGCTCTGGATCTCATCCCACCTGGTCTGGTCAGATCTGGTGCACCTTGGGAGGGATGATGCCAACAGAATCCCAGCTTCCACAACAGGATACTGAGACCCAGCTCCCGTGCAAAGTGAGAAGGAAGATGTGAGTCTGGAGGAGCAGATGGGAAATGTGACCCTTGGGGCCACTGAAAATAAAGAGGGAACCGTGTGGTCTTGTGGCTTTTAGCTTGATTTCACACACAAGTGGATCTTAAAGTGCACCATCCCTGTCCTGAGAAACTCTGGAGCCTCTGGCCAGTGTCCCCCAGCCCTGGCAGAGTAGCTGGAGCCTTGCTGACATGGAGCGCCCACAAGCCATGCGAAAATAGGTGACTCGCTGGAGGAGAAAGAGAAAAAGCTATAAATATCCTGAGTGAGGGAAGAATTCATCACTCACTCACTCAGCCTTTATTATACATCACAGAGAGCTGTTACACAAACCCCTGCCACAAAGAGAGGCCCAGGCATGAATCACTCCCCGTGAGATATCCAAGAATCCAGCCAGAGGCGAAACCCAAATGGACCCAGACAGCCTTGGAGCCTCTGTTCCAACCACGATCTCCTCTTTATGTTCCTGTGATAATCCAGGAGACACTGTCCTTTTGGGAAAGATATCCAGGGGCAGAAAAGAGAAATCATCTCCCTCTGAAGGACTTCTAATTCAAAAAGACTGAAGGGGAGCAGTGACCATCCCCAGCCTAAAAGATCAGGGGAAAGGGGTTTTTAGGCTGGATAAAATAGAAGAGAGAGGGATCAGCGTGACAAGCCACTCTCTCTTCCTCCATGGGCTCCCACTGTGCCTCATGTGACTTTTCCAGCCCGAAAGAAGTGCACCTCCCTGTTCAAAGCCAATTAATGAATTCATGGAATCACAGAATGGTTTGGGTTGGAAAGGACCTTAGAGATCATCAAATTCCAACCCCCTGCCATGGACATCTTACTTTTCCCCTTAGTTCCCTGATGGAGAGGAGGAAAGGATCAGCTGAAAGTTAAAGTCTGAAGGCCGCCAGGATGAAACCTGT